CATGCATGCATGTGTAAAACACGTATTTTATACCTTCAGCATCCAGAATTGGTTCTCAAACATCTGTGAGACATGCTAAAGAATGATTTATAGATTATCAGGGGCAGCATCTGGTGTCAATGAAACTGGATAGACAAACGGTCAGAAATTAAGAAGTTCCAGCTAGACAAGAGTTTGAAAAAGAGGGACAGAGAAGGAATCAGTTTTCTATGTTCTCCAACTGCCCACACCTATATAATCTCAATCCCTTATCACAAAAGAAACCTCTTGCCACAGACTGTTTATTTCACTATTCTTGTTTTGATCTCATGGTCACACAATCCAGACACCCCAGTTTAAGGTCATGACCTTCAGACAAGGAAGTTCAAATCAACTATGCAACCTTTCATACAACCTCCTTCCTTCAGAAAGCCAGATGTAAAGCTTTGGTAAAGAGCAGTTGAGTCTCTGTCCTGGTTTCGGCTGGGATAGTTAATTTTTCTTCTTAGTAGCTAGAATAGTGCTGTGCTTTGGATTCAGTATGGGATCTGGTATGAAAACAATGTTGATCATACACTGATGTTTTCAGCTGTTGCCAAGAGATCAAGGACTCTCCAACTCCCCATGTCCTGCCTGTGTGCAGGTACACAAGAAGCTGGAAGGGAGCACAGACAGAGCAACGGACCCAAACTGGCCAATGGAATATTCCATGCCATGTAATATCATGCTCATTGTATAAAGGGGGGGTGGCCAGGAAGAGGAGGAGGGGGGATGCTTCTCGTTTCTCAAATTGTGGTTTCAGGATATTTGTTTTCTTCAAGATTCCTAGTCAGGAGCAGGCTGGGTATCAGCCAGCGGGTGGTAAGCAATCACACTGTGCATTTCTATTACTGTTTTTATTTTATTTCAATTATTAAATTGTTTTTGTCACAACCTATGAGTCTCCCTTTACCCTCCAATTCTCTCCCCTATCCCCTGGGAGGGAGAGGGGGAGTGAGTAGCTGTGTGGTGTTTGGCTGCTGGCCAGGTTTAAACCACAACAGTCTCAATGCAGCACCACCACAGTAAGCCATCAGATGCCCTTTAGGACTTGAATACTTCAAACTGAGCAAGCTGACACCAAAACGCAGCCAATTAACTAATGTTAATTAGCCCCATAATTAAAGGGGAAGCAAAGTACTGTTACACTCTTATCAACTTGTATCATAACGATAATTTTGCATGAGACCTATCCATACTTTCTGCAGATGAAAAAACAGTGATATCTTTAGTAGCTAAGATTTGTTAGCAACTGGATTAAGCTACATCTCCATAACAATTCTTATTTTTGCAAAGAAAGCCTGTTAGGCATTTTACAGACTGTATCAAAACTGACAGAACTGAAAGAAAGCTTAGCAAAGGGCCACATTGAACATTTGTTATTTTGATATTATAGGTTGTTCACAATAAGCTACACTGCCAGTGTTTTTGCACTCCCATTACTGCTTTTTTCAATTATACCATTGAAGAGTTCTAAGAGGCATTCTGCTCACTCTCCTAAGCGTTCCAGGAAAGCATTCATACACAAACACTGGCCTACTGGCTGCAGTATTTCACGGCAGAACACACAAACACGCAAGCAATTCTGTGCCAAAGCTTGTGTTTTTTAAACCATAAAAAATAATCTACACAGCACTGGACCAAAGCTCTACATACCTTCTGAGCAACCTTTGGGCTACTGTCCCGAGACTGAGGAGGGCTTTTCAATTCTGAACTTCTCCCAGTAATACTGGGACTTTTTTCCAAACTCAGGGATTCTTTCTCCTGAAAACTATCCTCCCGGACTCTGTTACACTGTTGGTCTGAATCACTGCAGAATTCTCTCAGTCTGTCTAGAGTTTGCAAACATATACGGGGCTTTTCACACTTCTGAGGTTCTTCTTCAGTAAAAATACACAACAAAAACATATTAGCAACTTATTTTCTACAACAGAATGTCTATTAGAATGACATCAGTAAGCAAAGAATGCAAACATTTTGCTCTGTCTCTCTTTCCCCTACATTCCTTCTCCTTTCCCACTGCAGTATTTGTTCCAGCCTGACAGAATCATCCATGTAATCAGCTTGGTTAACTTCCTTGGAAAATGAGTACTCCTCACTTGTATGCTTCTTTACGCATGGGAAAAGAAGCACAATTATTTTCTGGACTGATAACTGCAAAGCCACAAAATTAGCCAAGATATTGGAAGATGAATGGTATTTTTTCAGTCCAGTTTTTAAGCAGACAGTATTGCTAGTTGATGGTGTCTTAGTGATACTTCAAACCATCACTCACAAAACTGAATATAATTCCCTCTATAAAAAAAAATCATAGGGGCTAATTCTTTTCAGTTAAGTGTAAGTGTAATGAACTTTATATTCACTGATGTGTTTTTCTACTAGCCTCAGCAATTTCTAGAATTCTTGGTTCAAAGCCAGATGAAGCACAGGCAACTTCAATGTAATTAAGTGGCTGTCATTTCACAGTTAAGATCACTGCAATAGAACTATTTACTCTGAGGTAGCCTTTAGATATGCCAGTCACAGGTCAGACTCCACAGAGCTGTGAGGTGTCAGTCATGCTTCAGCCTGAATCTAAAAGACAGACTGTTAAACCAGCACAGAAAGAGAAGTTGCAGCATTTCTGCCTGGACATCTGGACTTCACTGACTGAACAACCTGTTAAAGCTGAGCCTGCTGAAGGGGATTTGCAGAGTAATCCTGAAGCAAGGCTCAAATACCTAATTTCTGAGAAACAGAAAGGTGCTTTAACAGTATAGCTAGTATGCTCACAATGGCTCTTCAGAGATGTATCTTACACTCAAGAGACAGTTACTAAAGTATCTGCTGACAAATTTTTTACACTGCACAATGACAAACTATTTATTGGGTATAAATGCTTGAACGTTTGTTTATGGTCAACTCACTTTTATCCTGAGTCTTTGGTGGATTACAGATGTCTTCTAGAGTAATTTGTTGTGCCTTGGTTTTCTTTTCACATGGTTCATTGCTTTCAATTGATGTTCTCCTTTTTGTGCCAAATTCAGAAGCCTGAAACATAAACAAAGAAGTTCAGTTACTTTTTCCTCTTTGCCATCCCCAATAAAAGACAATAATGCACCCAAGGATTTCATGAAGAGATGATGTAAAATACAAAGTTGATTTACCATGCATAAAATCCCTAACTATTTTACCTACCTACATCTTTTGTTTATAAAACAGTTCTTGTAACATTCAAGGTTACAGGAGGAAGAGAAATAGTGCATTCTGTGAACAAGTTGGCTGTTGTGCTATAAAAGAAACACCTGCATCTACCATGGCTTCAAAAGACAGCTTAGAGCTACCTCTGGCAGAGAACTGAACCAGCACTTAACAGACTTTCCCATCATACCACACGCTACCACCCTGTGCCTAAATCAGATCTCTTCTGCAAATCCTCATTCCCACAGTTCAGAGCCCTCTTCTTGCCAGATACTGGATATTCACCTCTGAGATGCACGACTTCCTATGGCCTATGTCCTGATGATATAAGACTATCTTTTCCACACCATCCTGGAAGTGTTAAACGAGGCTTAAAAGGTTTTCCTAAACTATCCGTAAACACCTAGCTAGCACCATCCTGGGTTTGTATAGAATGCAGTACTTCCGACCACTGCTCCTTATATGACTTTTGGCACATGCACTTTTAATTCATTCATGTTGTTTCACCATTGATGTATTGTTTGACAGAAGGCAAGAGGTATGAATAGAGAGGCAACTTGCAACTGCAACAATGTATAAACACACTACTATTTCACTTTGCAGGTAAACACGCAACAGGTGCTTTTAGCAGCTTGTATCCACATTTCACACAGTCATCTCAGATGGTTCAAGTGTACTACCAGGGAAATTCAATCTCCATATAAGAAGGGACTCTACTTTCAGCAAGTAAGTCCATACCCTCTACGTAACGTATCTGTATGTGCAGCTCACGTGAGTTGCAAAGAGCTTCTTTCAGTCCACTATTATATACCACCAGATTAACACCAACTGGTATGCAGTTCTTCTGCATGGACAGAAAGTGGTAATCACACCTTTCAAGATATACTTAAACCAAAGATAACAAAAAAGGCTGACTTGAAACACAGATGAAAAAAGCACATGCCTTTCCAGGGACAGAAACATTAACTACAGGGAGACTGGAAAATACAGTCATAATGAAATCCAATTGCTAAGAGACAGCAATTTAATCCCAGCAGCAACGTGAGGAGGCTGCTGGAACACTGCAGGCTCTTGACCCTGCACCTAACAGCAATGAGTCTGAGCTCTGTGACCTGGGCCACGAGCTCGACCCACTGCATGCCAAGAGGCAGAACCTGCGCCAGAAGGTCCGACACTCCAGCAAGGGAGCGAAGGAAGCCCCTGGGGATACGAACTGGCACACTGGCTTTGCCAAGCTCACCCAACCCACATCGAGCTGCAGCTGCTAGAAAATGGGCACATCCTGGCTGTTTCCTGAAAGACGAGATACCGCTGCCCTGTGCTACAGAAGGCAAAGATGCTACGGCGAGCGCTGGTGGCTGGAAGGCCCTGCCCATCCCTTCTGACAGGACTTTCTGACCGCGGGTAGCCAGCGAAGCCCGGGGGCCCTCCGCCACCACCAAGAGGGGTCACGCAGGGCCTCAGCAGGCCCGGCCCGAGCCCTTCGGGCGCCCTGAGCCCCAACCTCCGCCGCCGCCCGGGGCGCACCGTCTGCCGGGCGGCACCCTGCTTCCCGCCGCTCCCCGCCGCTCCGAAGAACCTGCTCAGCACCAGCTGCTGCCCCCCGCCGCCGCCGCCGCGTTCCCGCCGCCGCCCCCGCGGCATGGCGAATGGCGGACCCCGGGCCGAGGTAACGGGGTCACCGGCAGCCCGCACCCCCCCACCCCCTTCCCTCGCCGGATGCGACGGCGAAGCGCGGGGCGGGACCGCCAGGGAAGCTCCGCCGCCCGCGGGTACGCTGCGCTCCCACCCGCGGCCGGGGCAGCCCCGTGGCTGCCGCCGCCGCCGCCCTCTCGCGCCGCCCCGCCCCGCTGCTGCGCGCTCGCTCCTTCCGAAGGCCGGTGCGGCGGGAGGCGGCGGCGGGCGGCATGGTACGCTCGCTCAACTCCATCGTGGCCGTGTGCCAGAACATGGGCATCGGGAAGGACGGCAACTTGCCCTGGCCGCCGCTGAGGTACCGCAGGTCTGGAGCGCGGGGTGGGGGCTTCCCGCCGGGGCGGCGGGCGGGCGGACTGCAACTCCCAGCGTGCAGCGCGGCGCGCTGCGCGCCGGCCGGCGCGGGGGGGGGGCGCGCGTTGCGCGCTGGGAGTTGTAGTCGAGAAAGGCGATGTGTGGCAGGGCGGGAAAGTGCCCGCGGTGGCGGTTGGCGGGGCCGCGGCCTGTCCGACGGCCGCCGGGCCGCGCCGAGGAGCCCCGGGAGGCTCGGTGAGGCGTGTCGGCAGGCTCTCGGCCGTGGGGTATCTCTCACGCAAGCAGAGCCGCGGCCGAAGGTCTCGGCCTCAGGCATGGCACCGGGCCGGGTGCAGCCTCGTCTACCCGGGCGCCGGCGATACTTGCGTTATGTTTCTTTTTCCAATGAGAGCAATGTACCTCATTCCGGAACAACGTTGTGATGCTGCTGTTGTTTTCTTGCCAGGAATGAGTACAAGTACTTCCAGAGAATGACTAGCACATCCCATGTGGAAGGTAACGTTGTATTTGTTGCTGAGGGGTGCCTCTACTTACTAAAAGTAGTCTGTGTGGTATCAGTCACCGAAAAGACTGGTCACGTCACTTAAAAAGTCCCTGACTTAAAAGTCCTGCTTCTGCAAACAGTCTGCCCTTCCCCACTTTCCAATGCCTCACAAGTATTTTACCCCTTTGTACATATGTCATCTGCAGATTGATTATGTGAGAAACAAGCCCACGTATATATAAAAAAAAAAAGTTTTATTGGGGACAAAGTCAGTGGAGCAAAGAATACAGCGCTGGGCGCAATGGCGCGCCCTGGAGCCAAAAGGGGCTCCCTTTTATTGTATAAATGGTTACATATTCATCTACTCTAATACATATGCATCACTACTTCTAAGGATAGGGAGGGAATATTACAATTAGTTCCGAGAAATCATTAACATATCCCCCCAACCCAAATTCCTCCCGTCGCGCTTGCGCAGTGCTCCCTGGTGGTCGTGGGCAGGGGTCTTCAGATGAAGGCTCGTAGTCTTCTTCACCGTGTTCGCTCGTTGACCCTTATTTATGCGCAAACTCAGTCCTGTGGTCACGTACACCTTGTCCTTCAAGTCTGGGCTAATTTGTAGCTCTTTTGTCTTTATGGCTCAGCGGCTCCAGTTCCTCTCTTATCTCAAGAACAGGAGATAACAGAGAGGGCCCATCATGTTCTTTCCCATTCCATTGCAAAGGAGTTACCATCCTTTGATATGGACCATCTGGTGAGCATTCCAAAGGAAAAAGGGGGGGCTGTTGGGTTGGTGTTTCCTCTGATCAATCCCCCTTCTCTTCTCTTTTCCCACTAGTAAATTATTTTACTTTTCTTAAAATTTGTATCATTGTACTAATAACAGCTTCAGCCTAATTCAATAAAAGTAATTGTTTAATTACTTTTAGCAAAAGCAAAATTCTTCTATTATTTATCACAATCCACCCTTTTTTTTTTTTTTAATACCATATTTTGCTTGAGCTTACTAACACTTAGTCTCATTCTTTTCTTAATATCATAACTTTGTGGGCACCAGCCACTGCTGCCATCTCAGGGTTTACTGGCATTGCTGTTATTTGCATCCCCTCAATAACATGAGATATTAGCTGTATAAAGCAAGGTATTAAACATGGTAAAAATAGTAAGCCCGCGACGGCACAAAAGGAAGAAAAATTCAATCTTTTCCACCAGGAAGCTCCTAATAGATCATCCCACCATTCTGAGTTTAACATTGAGGGTGTTTTCAGAGCACCATAGGTAAAACAGCTCTTATTCTATCTGCTATGTGCAGTTGTCGCCTTAATGTTTTTGCCGTGTGTTATTTATTCCTTGCTTTGTTCAGTTAATCCAACATGTTGTGACCAACATGCAATTTGCTACTACTGTTTCACCTGTTGGCGTTAAGCAAATTCGAGCTGTGTGCCGAACTGCACAGTCAACCGTACTATCAGACACTCTGTAAACAATAATCAACAATTTATTAGCAAACAAGAACCTGAAATAATTAACTGTATAACAATCCAGCAAAGTCCCACGCGACACAATCAGAAAAAGTAAGAACCAAAGATATCAGCACTGTCCTTTGGATGTTGTCCTTCGATGTCTTGTTACCCTTACTCACGGGGGCGATAGCGATAGAAAGATAGAAAGAGTCCAAGAACAACAGTCACGCGCCGCGTGGTAACTCCTCTGATCAATAACATTTTCTTCTTTGAACTATAAGTCTGTTTCCATCACCTCATCAAGGTTTCGAGGGCGTCTTAGTTGTCTTCGTGATCTTGGAGGATTGGGGGGAGGAGGTGATCTTCTCCGACACCAGCCACGAGACATTCCCTCGCATACCACGATGGCAACGACAGTCACCACCAATATAATGAAAAATCCCAACAGCAGGCCGGCGCACACGGGATCGTCCCCTACTCCCATCTTCCCAAGATTGCAATCCAGTGGGATCAGTAAGATTAGTGGGATAGTCCAGCCCCAGGCTAGCGGCTTGACCGAGGAAGGTCCAAGTGCGCAATGAGCGGAAGTTTCTCTTCCACCCAGAATGCCTGTGCTGCCTAGATCTGGGCGGGCCTGGCAGTTGTTTTTGCCATCCGGGTATAGCCGAACTTTCGAGACCCTCCAACAACACATGCGCTTTGGGCTGGGGGCGTGGAAATCCATTTTCCTGCTGCGTATGTGGACCCTGACTCCTGATCCCTACAGACCAGGCAGGTTCACCACTTGCGCTCTCACTCTTGTACCTCCGATACCGCGAAAACAATGGAGCGTGCTTATGCATGGGCAGCAATTTATTGTGCAGTCTTGATGTTGGTAGCCCTCACTTTGTTTGCCTTTTTACTACATATCTTTTGCCCTTGTAAATGTTCCTCTTTCAAGTGCCCATGTAGTTGTATCTGCTTATGTAAACCACCATCTCCTTTGGTTAACCATGTCGAAAATTCTGTTATAGGTCTTTTCGGCGGTTTTGGTACTGGCTGTTTTACTTCTGTCACATCTTTTACTTGGATTCTCTTCTTCCCACTAAAAATATCTCCATCCACCCTTCTGTCTTTGGGAAAGCAAAGCCACTCTGATGTTGGACATAACAGTAAAGCACTTGCTGCACAAATTTGCCACTATTAAAGCAAACCATACCAGGATGATTAGCAGAGGTCCGGTATAACATATGCTCCCACCTCTCATGCCTATGGGGTTGCAGCCCACAGCTGAGATACAAGTCTTCCTGGTGGCGAGCACAGAGGTTAACCCGGTCTTGCCCTCTACTATTTAACGAATCCATGTGTTAAGAGTTAGTCAATTCAAGTGCAGCTCCTTTGTAGCCACTTCCTTTGTTTCTAAGCAAAGCAAAATTTTTGGCACTTCCTGATAGTGTCCTCCCATCAACTCTCAGGGACATCACAAATTCTGGGGACTAACCTCTTTTTCCCCGTAAATCAAGGTTACAGTTCATGCCCCTTCCCTATACAGTTATAAGACAATTTTCTCCATCTGCAAGAAATACCACATCCGGTAACACATTTCACATTCACACAAAACCCACGCTTCATAACATCCATACATACACTCGAGACAAGGTATTACCCTATTAGGTTGATTTTCTAGCAATGCCTAATTGAATCCAAAATGCTCATAATCTGTTACCAAAAGCCACTCTGTAACATGTCTGTCAGTTAATGCTCGGTAAACGCCAGCTTTTCCCTGACAGTTTTTTTGTTTGTTTGTTTGTTTTTTGTTTTTGTTTCCTTATACAGCAAGTAAGCAAATGAATAAGTAAATTTTCGCAGTGTTACCTCTGAACCCAGTTAAAAACCCAGTCAAACCACTGGTTAAGAGTCATTCAATCCCCTCCTGATGAATTTACTTAGTCCTTTGAGGGTGACTTGTAGTTGGTCAGTTGATGGTACCACAGTCCACTCCTGAGGCTTTTCCACGGTCCTTTTCCTCAGGAGGCAAGAGTCCACCCCTTTTCTTTTGTTCGGATCGCTGTCTCGGTGGTCAGCAGCACCTGAAATGGACCTTCCCGCTCGGGAGTTAATGATTAATCTTTCCACACTTTTATCAATACCCAATCACCTGGTTTTACATTGTGGATATTAAAAGCCAATAGTGGTATTTGAGGCAGAAGTCCTTTCTTTCTTAATTTCATTAAAGTGTTACCAATTCTTATTACATACTTTCTTACATATTGATCTCCTACTTCAGGGATGACAATATCCCTGTCATTACTCATACATGGTAATCCAAGCATCATTTCATAGGGAGAAATACCCAGGTCTGTTCGTGGCTGAGTATTGATCCTTAATAAGGCCAATGGCAGGCATTTAATCCAAGACATCTGAGTCTCAATCATTAACTTAGTCAAGGTTTGTTTTTAAGTTTGATTCATTCTTTCTCCTCTTCCAGAACTCCGAGGATGCCATGGGGTGTGCCATGCCCATTCGATCCCTAAGGCTTCAGATAGCTGTTGTATATAATTTTTAAAATTAAATGTGTTCCTCCGCCCAAGTCTATTCTTTCTATTAATCCATATCTGGGGATAATGTTTTCCAGTAACACCTTGGATACCATGCTTGCCATTGCCCTTGGTGTGGGGGATTGCTTCCACCCAATGAGTTAAGTGAGCCACTAATACCAACAAATACTTCCACCTTTGTATTTAAGGTAGCTCTGTTAAGTCTACCTGGAGGCTTTGTATGGCTAGCTCCTGTTCCCCAGCCACCCTTTTTTTTTTTTTTTTTTTTTTTTTTTTATCTCATTACCTTTTTGTTCACTTTTTGACAAATCAAACATCGATCAACTAGTTGTTTAGCCACTATATATATATTCCTATACACCCATATTGTCTAAGGAAATGATCACAAAGTGATTGCGTTCCCCAATGTATTTTCTGATGTATTAATGACAGAATTTCTCATGATCTTGTTTTATTTAACATCTGCCTTCCATCTGCTAAAGTCCATTTTCCTTCTGAATCTTTTCCCCCCTTATTTTTAAGTATATCCTTTTCTTGTTCTGTGAAATTTGGGGCTAAATTCTCATAATCCCCTGGTATTATTACCAATAAAACTACCAATGATGATTCTGTAGCTGCTTCTCTGGCTACTTAATCTGCTAAATTATTCCCCCTTATTTCCATTGATGCTCCCCTCTGATGTCCTTTCACATGCACAATTGCAATTTCTGTGGGGAGCTTCAGGGCTTCTAAAACTTCTCTGATCAGCCGCTCATGTACTAGCTCCTTCCCTTTTGTATTTATAAGCCCTCTTTCTTCCCATATTTTTCCAAATGTGTGGACCACTCCAAATGCATACTTTGAGTCTGTGTACACTGTCCCTTCCTTATCTCTCAAATATACCAATGTCTGTTTTAGGGCATAGAGTTCACAGACTTGTGCTAACCACCCAGCAGGTAATTTCCCCTTTTCAAACACTTCCATCTTCTGCCTCTCGATAATTACATAACCCAATATTTTTCCTTCTAGGCA